CCTCTCTCTTGTCCTCTCCCGATCCCCCCCCCATCCTGCCGCGGGGGAGTGAGCGAGTGGCTGTGTGGGGCTTAGTTTCCAGCTGGGGTTAAGCCGTGACACAGGTTAAAAGTCACAGCTAACACTAGGCAAAATGCTGTTCTAACACCCACCCAAGTCAGCTGGAAGGGTTGTTTGAGGTTGGGTTTGGGGTGGGGGGATTCAGTTGCATCCTAAATGAATGACATTTTTGACAGAGTTGATTCCTACTCCCACAGACACCAAGGTCAATTTACGTCAACCTGCTGACAGAAGGAAGCTTCAAAGTAGAAGAAAACTCATTTATATTACTGCCGTGTAAAGAAAGCTGCTTCGCTTGCTCCCCAACACACACCAAGTTCAAGACAGTACAATATTTCTGAGGATATATTATTGCATAAATAAAACATAGGAACAGCTTTTGTCTTGCAAGCTTCCAAGTTATAAACATAGTGTTTTATTTGTTCCAGCTCCAAAATACCTAATTGTTTGACAAAGTATACGCAGTACAACGTTAATGCTCTTCAGGCACGCAGCCCAGCAAATACACAAACCAAACCCTGTAGTATACTAAGAGTGGGCCCCAAGGAAGGCCAATTCTACAGGCAATTTCTTAACAGTCTTCCTTGCCCAGGTAAAGTCATTCATTGTGGAGGGGTTTTCTCCCATGGTATTTGACTGTTAGATGCCCTGTTGCTTCTCCCTTATTGGTTATCGCTATGAATGTTCTCTACAAAGTAAACCCCGTCCTCCTCTACCAGTCTCACATCATCTTTTTCTATCTTGTACAGTTTTGTCTGGAATTAAGCAGCTTTAACAAAAGAATTAAAAGGCTCTGAGCTCTTCTCAACATAGAAAAGACAGAAGTTATGGGGCTCAAGTGTGAATACAAGACAGACTGTAATCCCCAGAGGTAATGCAACATCATTACCAAACATGGGTCTTCAAAATCCCCTGCGCTCATATTAGCTGTCAAAACTGTGTATGCCGAGTTTGCAGCAGTGAAGAAAAAGAAGGGTTTTCTCTTCATTTCAGACCCCAGAAAACACCCAACACGATTGGAAAAATTAAAATGACCTGCCAAGAGTTAAAATTAAACCACCACTTCCTACTTCTCCCAAGTGTTATACAGACACATATGCTCAGAGCTTCCCTACCCAAGCCCCTAATCCACCCGTAGCTACAGCCAAGAACCAAAGCCACTAAGGAAGTGCAGAAGAACCAGGAAAAGAAAACAGGCTCAAAGTGAAAGTACAGTACAGAAATAGTGGTTAGCTCATCACAGCTTGCAAACTTTCATGAAGTCAGTCTGGGAGGAAGGGGGGGATATATTTTAAATTATATAGAACTTTATTTTTAGGGGAGTACCAAGCAGTATCAATATTCCAGACATCTACCCAGCAGGCAAAATTCACACAAGCCTCTGGCTATATCCTAGCAGAGCAGTAAAATAGATGGTACATATAAAATAGTTGCCTGCAGAACAGGGAAATCTAATGCTTTTGCCATGACTGGATATGTTCTTCTCTGGATATCCCTGGAAATTCAGCATATACAGGTTTTCCAGTTGCCTTTTTTTACTTCTTGCTGCGATTCCTCACTCCTGCTACAAACCCAGTTTTGCCAAGCATGATAAAAAAGTCAATGCCGGTCCCCCTTCAGCCTGCTCTTCAAACATAAAGGAGCAATCTTCCTGAGGAAGATAACAGGGAGAGGATGGAAGGAGGAAAACAGAGATAACACAAATGTAATTTTCCTATACTTACTATCTCCCTAGAAATTTCTGTCTGCATGTTTAACCTCCTCTGAGGTAGGCAGCCTTGGGCTGAACACCTACTTTTAGTGGTCATAACATACGAGAAATCAAATGACAGAATTCCTAGAACTGCATAGGCTTTCTTGACAGGAGCCATGTTAATAAGAAAACCTAAAACATTCTGAAAGCAAAGAACAGATTAACAACAGGAGGGGAAGAAAAGAAACAGTTCAAAACAATACCATACACTTCTAGGAATTCACCAGGCAACATTTATCTCCTCCTCTTAATCTCTTTTCCCTCCACCCAAGCACATTTGTGTTCTTGAGCTTTTAATTTCTTCACCATCTGTCCAAGTTAGTTTGCACCACAGCAAAATACCATGCTAAGTGACAGGACACATCCAGGGAACTCTCTCATTCTGTGAAATCTCTAAGTGCCTGCTCAGTTTTAAAAATAACCCACGTCACTCATCTTGCATTTTGAGAGTTCCAAAGAAAAAAGAAACCTCTTCCTATACCTACATCAGCAACTGAGTAGTTGCATGATTAGCGGAAGCCAGCTCCCTTCTCCGTCTCAGCGTACCTACCTGTAACATTAGCAGTCATAAAAACGCATTGGGAGCACTCGAGAACAAACGCTACTTAACAGCTGGGTACTAGTAAATCTAAAATAATTTCGGTCTGATTAGCTTTTGCTTTCAAACTGGCACATCCCAAGCTGCTGCTTACAAGCATGTCTGAATACAACGGCCCTCGTTTGATGCGCTGCCATTTGGCAGCCCTGAGCAGACTCGACGTGTTTTTGGTTTCACATTCCAAAGAGAAACCCAACTATTTAGCCCCTGTGATTTGTTTAAAATTCTCTTAGACCAGAGTATCAGATTAAACCCAATCTTATGCTTAAATAAATACTAAAGAATGGTAAAAAAACATTTAAAAAGAACGCCCAACTAGGAGACAGACTACAGTATGCTCCTTGCAAAACATGACCTATTTTCTCCTTGTTTCTTAAAGGTGGCTAATGTCCGTTACCCTACTGTTTTTAATTACTAGATTTCCTCTCTTGTATAACATTTTAATGTTTTCAAATGCAAATGTAATGCTTGCAGATGTAGTCAAATAATAACATACTGAAATTCTTAGCTAATCTCTCTAAGCAAAGCTCCTGGATTGGCAAATTCCAAGGCTGTTTAACCCAGCTGGCAGCCAGAGGTCTAGCCACAATTACAGGTATATAAATACATTTAAAAGAATCACAATAGCAATTTTTAAAATCCAAAAATACCTGGAAAAGTAAACCCCAAGCTTTATATTCTGAATAGTGATTAACAGCGCAAGACAATTCAGTTTCAAGTGTTTGGTTTCAGGTACCTACAAAGAGCCAGATGGGTGAATTTCTGCAGGACTCAGAAGTTAAATGGCAGGCAGTTTTGCCAGGATCTAAGGTCTGCGGTGGCATACAAGGACTACAGGTAAATACTTTGAACAGCGAACTCAAAACCCAGCAAACTAAGCTCCTCAGAAATCCGAGGGAAGGTCAAGCTCAAACTATATTAACCTAATTTTTTGAAGATTTCAGGATGAAGCAAACCATAGGAACACAGTTTGCTGGCTAGCTCCCCCTTCTGCAGTTACTGCATCTCCCACCGCTTCATGTGGGGCGTGAGGCTCCAGGTTTGAGCTTTCAGACTGCCAGGCTAATGAGCAAGGAGGGCTCTCTCTGCGGCAGCTTACCATCACAAGGGTGTAAACAACAGGTCTGGCCTCCAGATCCACCATGTTTTATATCAGAATGAAAACTGCATGGAGCCTGAAGCCTCCCACTAACACCCAACACGCGTAGAAATGAAAGAACCACCTTCTTTTTAGAAAACTCGTGAAAAGCCAGCAGTTCTAAACTGTGCCAGAATAAACTGTTCAAGCTTGACAATTCACAAAATGGTTCATACCTCCCGTTCCAGATAGGATTTAAGGGATTCTGTCTCATTTAACAGAGTAACGCTGCATTTGCCTCTAAAAAAAAAAAAGAAACACATTTTATGAAAACACATCTTAAATGCTAATGAGATTCACAAGACGGTATTACCGAAGTCATACACAGAATTTAATCTTACACTGAAGAATACTTGAGTAGTAATAATGCCACTTGGCTTTTGAATAAAAAGCACTGGAAGAAAATAGTCATTACCTAATGTGTGTGGCTGGTAGAGATTCCAGCTGTCGTGAGAGAAACAACTCGCGATGTCGTAGCTGATGCTTCTGTTTCTCTGGTAAATCAACCATTTCTGGATTTTCCATCTCTTCTTCCATTTCTCCTAGTTAGAAAGAGACAAAAAAAAAAAATCATCAAGAACAGTGCAAATATTGATTCTGAGCCAATCAGGATGAGCTGCTCCAAAACCTTTGCTAACTAATACACATTATTTGGATTAAAAGTACCTTCATCTGAACCCTCACATTTCAGCCAACTGAACAATGAGATGATGAGTACGGATCCTTTAAATGATGCCTGGGAAGACTTGGACTGATTCACAGCTGGGATCAAAGCACTCCAGGTACACACTGGCTCACCAAGCTAAAGTCACACCAACCTGTTACAACAGACACGCTCCGAAGAGAGCTGCTCCTGGGGACCACCGCTGCTCCGTTAGGCTCGTCAGAAAGACGCTGATGCACAATGAGCCAGGCAGCAAAAGCAAAGTCTTTCCTCTTTGCCAGGCATCAGCTACCTTAGACCCTACTCCTCTTTCAGGATGTCACAGACGGTCCCACCCCGACTTCAACAGCTTTGGCAAGCAACGCCTGCTGAAAAGATTGGTTTATCTATTTAGATTATTTTATTCTCCTCACTCCAACCACAGCCGATAGATCCCAGTCACAAGATTAGCTGGAACATAACCAAGTGCCTAAGGCCAGCCTTGCAACCCGCCCTTCCCTACATCACACACGTTGGACTGCAGTACTCCCACATTCCTAAAACTTGCTTTCTTCTTCAGTGGGGATGTACCATCTCTGGCTTTGAGCGACCCAATCTCCATCCAAACAGCTTGTAAACCAATGCCGAATACATGCAATCACATCCTCACCACCACTGATCCAAAACACCTCTAGGCACCTTCCCTGTAAGAAACATATTGCATGATTTGTGTTCATTAGCAAGTATCCTGCCAATTAAGCAAGACAAAGATGTATAAGGCAAAATACTCTTGAAAAAAAGAGCCTCAAAGCTTCTCCCTGATGAAGAATTGTGACAGAAAACACCAGACTTTTTCCTTCCTCAAAAAATTAAAGCAGTTACTGTATTTTCCAAAGCCACAGGAGAAGTTTCCCAGACTGTAGTAGAATGAGCTGCAAAGTCTCATACATGAATCGTAAAACCCTAATTTTACGGCAACACTACTCTCAAAGAGCAGACTTATGCCTGCAGCTTAATTCAACACTGGCTGCCAAGACACACTCCTAGTCAGAAACACATCCAGACCCAGTTACAACTTACATACCCTTTAGTTAACTATAATACTCATAGTTATCCCTAAATAAAGCAAACAGATCTCCATTTTACAAAACCCTAAAATTGTGTTTAGTTTTAAATAGGCCACCATTACGCCAAAGGGGGTGACAAAAAATTACGTAGCCTTCATGTTCCCCACAGTTTATCACTGTTTTACTGTCCTAGAAAAAGGCCTGTGGTTTATATGCCCCTCAGGTAAGCTGCTCCAGCAAGGAAGGAAAAAAATAGCGGTGTAATTAAACCAGACTGCAAGATACAATAGCTCTTACAGCAGCACGCGCTTAGATTGCAATATTTTTCCTCGCAACTAGAACACCAAATTTACATTTGTTCCACAGTTTCACGGTTCTGCAATTTATTTACTGATGTGGATTCTGGTGTAGTTGAAAATGAATATCGTGGCTGCTGACCTACACTATAAATATACCAGCAGCAACCCACAAACAAGTCAGCGAGTTCCAAGCTAGCTTGCCTAAAAACCGACGGATACACAAATGAAAAGGCATTCATGCCTCCTCTTACACAGAATGAGAGTAGTGCACTGTACAAAGGCAGGAAGAATACCGTAAGGAGCAGCCTAAAATATGTAATAACTTCAGTATATTTAATAGACTAGAGCTTTTAAAAATTATATTTCAAAAAATAAAGATATCAACCACCATGTGCCAATCAAATCTACAAGTGAAACGGCCCAGCACAACCAAGTGCATCTCGGGAACTGCATCCCTTCAGGCTGGCTCGTCTTCCAACTGGTGTTTTATTTATGCGTCTAGCTTTTGTAACAGAATAAGGAAGGTGGGAAGCACACGTTTTCTTCTTATGCCAGCTCTGCTCTGCACAGCCTCTCAAACTGAAAAAGTGCAAAACATGTTTTCTTAAAGAGACAGACATTTTTACAGGTAACAAAAAGCTCCCCACACACAGAGATAAAACTGCCCTAGTTCCCAGACAGAGGTAGGAATATTCCAACATATTTAAAAAAAAAAAAAAGTCAATGGAACCAAGGGAAGGAGGAGACAACAGAGGGCTGGATCCAGCACAGGAACCTCTCCGCCTCACCGAAGTCACGCAAACACCGGTTTGACAAAACCGGTAACTAATACCGCCTCGCTGCCTCCGCGCAGACAGCAAAGGCGTAAGCCAGACTACAAACCACAAGAGGGGCCGGCCCAGGCCTGGGTTCCAGGACAAGCCCGGCTGCACCTCTCCCTCCTGTAGCTCAGGCACTCAAGCGCTAAGCAAAGCGGACTTCACTCTCGAGCACGGTGGCCCCTGAGGAATAAGGACTGCGGTCTTAAAAATACATAAGTATATATTAAATATGTAATATGTATATTTCAGAATATATATTTTCAGAAAGACCTGCCTGCATTTTGTACAGTACTGCAGAGCAAGCGGCAGGAGAATACAGTAGGTGCTTCACTGGGACTTCAACGCTCTCATAAAGCCTTACTTCAAAATGAATCTCTCTGCCTGATAGATGTGCTCGTGCACATTTAAAACTAAACATTTAGTCTTAACACAAACAGCAATATATCAGCTGTACAGAAATGGCCAGTGGAATGCTGCAAGGAGTGTATTAGATTAAGTATTATTTGATACGCGATGGCAGAACCATTAATAGCACATTAACAAAGCTTGAAGATGACTTATATTGGGAACATGAGAGGCAGATTGGACACAAACAGCAAGACTCATGTGAAAGCTAACATATACGGGGGAAAATAATTAAAAAGAGTAAACTTTGAGGGGGCAGGAGAGACCCTAGAGTCAGTAATTGTAATTTAAAATGACTGGGCATGTGAGATGTGAAATTAAACATCAATATTTGCTAGACACCAGAAAGAATAGCAATTTGCGATAGATCAGATTGGGCTCTCTACAACGTCAGAGGCAGAAAGCACCAGCCCTTTCTCTGCATCCTGGCTGTCGTACAAGAAGCTACATGGCAGAGTTCAGAAACACACACAGGCAAACAAGTGAGAGAAATTAGGTTTAGAAAGCACACCAGGTTGTCCAGCTTGGGAGACCGTCTGTAGTGGCAGAATTAGTTAGCATAGTTATCACAAACAAAAATGTCAAGAAAAAAGAAAAAATGGGGTCACAACATTGGGAAACAGCAAGCCAGCGCTAGTGACCTGCCCAACGGCTCCTTCAGAAGCTGGAAGACTTGGTGCTTTAACAGCGCATCCGAGCAGCTCGGAAGGACATTGCCGAAGCGTTGCATTTTGAGAAACAAACAATAAAACACCACATTCCTTATCCCAGGACCAAGGGTCTCCATCAAGCCTCAGCTTTATTAATTTTCTCTCTACCAAAAACCAGATATTGGTTCACAGCTACAGAAAAATATGGTGAAAGTTTTAACAAATAGAAATCATTACACCTTGACACTTGGGAAGGAGCTTGACATATTACCAAGACACCCCGCTACGATCCCTTCCAAAGACTTCTTGTGATCTCTTTCGCAGCTATGGCCAGTTACAGGTAGCGTTCAGAGCAGACAATTTTGGACACTTTAATCTTTCCTCACTGCACCAGCCCCAGAAGAGAAAAACCACAGTTTCCTCCTCTCGGTAACAACAGAGCCAAAGCACATTAATGAGTTCGACTCCTCTTAAATCTGCCTGTGTGGTGCTGGGAGGAAACGGAGAAGGGGGATAGAATGAAAGAAGTAAAAAACTCATCTGTGAAGCTATTGTCCACGTGCATTTAGACTGGTGCCATCTAAAATGTAATAAAACCACCCCAAACTCAACAGCCCCCCGCCTGGTTAGGCACACAGGTCTCACGCAGCTCACAGCCTGACTGAGCAGTGACACCTCACCGCAAGACATGTATTTTTAGAAGCTTTGGCACTTAGAGAACCCCGCTGCTGTGCGTGCCCGGCACCCAAAGGGCAGCTGCTGAAGACTAACCGTAAACCTGCCAAACCAGCTGGCACGAAGCACTCCGTTCTCCAACCACTACCAACCAGCCACTCGCTGCCGTACAGATCAGGATAAGCACGTGTAATGAAAACTGGTCATAAGACAGATCACACCTGTCTGGAGATGGCTGAGGGTGGATCCTTAGAAGGGAGGAGGAGCATAGGAGGGTGTACGCCTGTTGTTGGGCATCTTTACTTAATTACATGACACATTATAGAGAAACTATATAGTCACAGCATCCACCGGCAGCTTGAGGAGTGAAATGTCTTTCTTGCTTCTCTTCCACCAAGTTCTGCTGGCAATCTTGTTTGCATACATATCTATCTTAGACCACTCCAGAGTCTCGGGGCAAGAACATTCAGTCGTCTCCTACTGGCAAAGCAGGTTCAGTTCAGACACGGGTGGAGAAATTCCCCATAATAATCTGTGAGGTGATTAAAGAGGTTTATGAATAAGAGTGCTAACAATGTATGGAAGCCATTGTAAGGCTAATAGATTTATAGGACAGCTCAGACAAGCTTTATATCGTATGATAAAAATAGTAAGATCACGGATCAGGTCCAAGAATCAGGTTGCATACATCAGGTACTAATTTACAGTCACCACCTACAGAATAAGGTGCTTCCAACTCATTTCTCTTTTAAAGAGCTATGAGAAAACCCACCTCAGACGCATCCGTTTCAGATAGCTGGTGGATTATACGAGCTAAAGTGTAAGCGCCTTTTAATTTTCTTTTTTTAAACTCTGCAACATTCCTTTCCCAATCACATCTTTTTCCTTCCTTTATTGGAAGGGAAAACATATTCTGAAATACGCATATACTTTTTCCATTCATGCTCCAGCCATATCTTCCCATTACTCGGCAGTCTCACCGCACGGATCTCAACAGCAGGTCTAAAATAAAGGCATCTCAAACAGAAGCCTGTGTGAATCCAGAGATGTCCGCAGCCAGAAAGCTCCATTAATCAGCTGAACAAAGGCAGTTAAAAGATCGGCGATGCAGATACGTACATCTACTGCAAATGCATCAAAATGAGGCAACAGGAGGCTTTATGGAAATGAACTCCAAGTCGGGGACAGTGTTGAGTATCTCTGCTAGAATCTTAACATCCAGTACATTTAATTTCATTATATCATGCCGGACGTAGATATTCTTTTCAGAGTAAAGAACAAATGGCTGTCCAAAAGCTAAATTTTACTCCCTTCTCCCTCCTTAAGGGGAACGGAAGCCACACAACAGCACACCTATCTAAATAAATGGAAGTCATTTAGCAGCAATTTTATTCTGCACCAGAAAGAATCATACTGGGAAAAATGTTAGTTACTAATGAAATTTATACTAAGAGACAGCCTGAGTTGTCTCTGGTGGCTCTGTTAATAGGATTGTGCTACAGGAGAATCTTCCTTTCTTTCAATCACACATGAATCCAAACAATGAATTATTTGTTTGCATGAAAAAACCCTTAAATTTCTTATCACAAAAAGAAATCAGCCTCAGCAGGTACAAAGAGCATTTATACGGGTTCAAATATACTTAATTTTCAGCCTTAGACACATGTTTCTTTGCATCATTCCTACCTGCTTCCTTACTAAATGTAGTGAAGTGAGACACAGATGCAGGAATCAATAGTCGTGTTGTTTATGGTGAAGCTCCTATTAAGCTTCAGTATTCTCGGATAAAATGAGTGCCGCTGCACTGAAGAGATATCAAAACAGCTCTGCAACACAGCCAAATCTCAGCTCAATGCCCTGTGAATTTTTTTTCCCAAGGTATGGTTGCAAAGAAGGGACTTATTTGGACTTGAATCTACCACAGAAAATATTCAGATGTATCAATAAGGGGCTAGTTCTGCCGCATGTTTTCCCTGATGACGATACAGCACGACATTATATTCACTGTGAAAACTGAATATCTGATGTAATCCCCGTGCAGCACAACTGTGTAGATCTGTGTTACATATACATCACAGCCTATTCATACATACACCCAGAAGCACATTAAAAGGCAATGATGCTTGGCAGCTCAATCATGACTTTGACGTGCCCAGATCCGGCTGCTTCTTTTTCATTTCTGCGTGTGCCTACAAGAAAGCCTTGAATCACACGGCTTGATATGGCTGGTCCGTGCTTTTTCCTAAATTTTAAGCAACCTGAAGAGCCACATCTCACACTCCATTGTTTATAAGCAAACTCCACCTCCTTACCCTTTTTCTCCCTTTCAACATGTCTGTTTGGGTAAGTGTTCTGTTAGGGTCGTGCCCGTCGCCTCGCGGGGATGGGATGAGAGGGATGCTGAACTGGCAGAGGAAGGTGTAGTACACCTACAGCTCATCCTCACTGGCAACTAGAACAGAGTCAAACAGCCTGGAAGCACCCCAGATAAAGCACCCAACACGTAATATGCTGCACTCTCTCTCCCCTTGAGAGTTAGTGCACCATGCTCACCCCCTTCTGAGTTCAGGAAGCACAGCTCTACAGCAGCTTCTCAGGCATTTCGTGTAGGTTTTTTTAAAGAAAGAATAAATATTTAAATTATTATTTTGCAATACCTTGCCTTACAGGTTTACACAGGGAAATTTCTAATCTATACTGACCCATAACTACTTTTTATACACGCTTTTCAGAATTTTAAGACTATTTCTATAACTGAAAGAGAACTGTAACACCAAATTTTGTTTAGAAATAAGCTTCCATCTCTCCTCAGCTAGGGATCTCGCATGCCTCCCACCTCCTTGGCAGGAGTACATGCCAACCTAAGTTAACACAATATTCTGTAAAACAATACAAGTCCAGAAATCAGTTACGCAACGCGTACGGGCAAAGGAGGACGAAGGAAGGTAGCAGGAACAACCCCCTACATTCTGTAACAGTTTAGCTGCATGTTTACTTTTTTTAAAATCAGAAAGTACGGTACTCTAAAAAGAAGTTAGTTTTCAAGTCTCCTCTCAGCCTAGATGTTATTTTTTTCCTAACAAAAGGACTTGCAGTACTCAAAATAGTGACAGGATGTCCTAAAGTTCAGTGTTTTAAAAAATGCATTTACTGAGCATGTTCAACCAAAAGCTAGCTCCCTATAAAAAATATTACTAATTTTGAAATGCAAAGAGAATTCCTGTTAGCCGAGTTTCAAGCTGGCCATGTTTCAAATCGCTTTCCTATGATCAGACTACTTCATTTACTCAAAGTTTGAGGTTTTGGGGTTTTTTAATCTGTTAACCAAACCAACTCATTCATGAGCAGTACTACATGAGACAGGGAGAAAACTTTTCTTCATCCCCAGAATTAAGACATTCACTTCTATGAAGCAAATTAAGTCACCTTCATTCAGCCATAACTGAAAGATTCTATCCTGTCCCTACTATGATAACCAAACCATACATGAAATAAGGTTTTAAAATGCTTAAAGGGTGACCAAGACCAAGAAAGAGAGAGAGAAAAGTCAGCCAAACAAGTAATGCAGTTTGCTAAAGATGAGTAGGGAAACAGGACATCAAAAAATAATAATATTGACACATGTAACTGCAATATCAAAGTTGTATCAAAGTCTGGCAATTTTGTGTAGAAGCATTTGAACACGAACAAGCTTACTTGCATGTTTGTCTGCCAATACAATAAGTGTACTCGATATGTCTCTTCTTCTGTAGAAACAAACCACCTTTGCTTCCACATTACCATTGGCAGTCTGAAACAAGAAAGAAGAAAAAAAAAGAGCACAAATCAAGAACTGAACCATACACGCAGAACTAGAAAACTTCAAAAGAATTTGGAATTTTGCACCAGAGCTTCATAGCATCATCACTTTTTAGCACCCTCCAGCTGCACACACAAAATCTGGTGTGATCCATTCATTCCAGGGTATGGAAACAGATCCTAGCCTTTCCCTCCTTATTGCTTCTGCGGGATCACCGTTTTTAGCAGCTACAGATGTTTCAAGGGGTGAGAAAAAACACTTACCTGCAGTTACATTATAACAAGCCACTTCGCTACTTTTCAGGGGATGCCTACATTCATTAGAATTCAAAAGTGTCTTTAAAATCCTAATAAAAATAACTGTGAAATAGAACAACAGAATTCAGGTTTGGGCTGTTGTCCAAACTCTGTAGGACAGTAGGAAAGCAAGAAAGAACCCAGCCATTATTACTTTCACAAAAGAAATCACGAGGTTTTCTTTCTCTGACAGCACTGGTAAGCTAAACAATGACTAACACAAAAAAAGCCACTCCTAAAGGAGAACCAAGGAAGCTGCACCAGGCAATAAATTCTACACCAGTGACAACATACATAAAAGTCTGAATTTCTGAAAGGTTTGGGTTTGTTTTTTTTCCTTAAAACTCTTAAAATGAGATAGGTCATGAGTCTCTTATAAGATGGTATCTGCCAAACTGTGGAACTGGCTTTACACAAGTGCCAGGGGAAATACACCTACTGGTTTGTTACAGCCCCACCAATCTGCTGCCTCTAAAACAAATGAACAAGTAATGACAGTGTAACTGGAAAAAGCTGTATCTTCTATAATACCTGTTTTTCTAACACAGAAAAAAAAAAATCAGACAATACATACAGGCAAATATATCCCCTTGCAGCCTATCAGTTTTTGGTACAGAGCCTGCAGAATTTCAGAATTAATTAATTCAGAACTTAGTATTTTAGTTCCTCAAAATTCAAAAGGCAGGAACCACCTTGTTACAACACGACAGCTACAAGGTGGAACTACCCATTCCATTTAATTGACCAGGCTTCACTTACACGCAGCGGGAAAAAAGGCAAGACAAGATGATCATTTTCAACCTGAAAGACCCATTTCAAAGAGAAGGTCAGAGAAATGACAGCACACACAAGAGGTGCACTAAGATGAGACCTTAGATGTAGGCTGAAAGTTCTTCCTACAAAGTGGGGGGAAGAATCAGGAGGGAAAGCAGAGGGGAAAACAACACTTTCCTAGAAAGTTATCAACAAATCTGTACCCTGTAACTGATGGAATACAGCTATTGATACCGCACGGCTATGGACCCAGTGGGAATATTTTAGGAATTCACTTTTCCTCCCTTAACAGAATGGCGACAAAGCATTTCTGCAGAAGGACCTCCACCAAAAAGAAGGTGTTAAAAGCATGTCCCAGCCTTCAGGTTCTTCATTTGTCATTATACTGATAGATTTTCTCTTCCAAGTAACTGTTTTGGAACGACATGTTTTTCTGGAGCTGAAGAGAAAGCCCTAATTTTAGTCAGTTAATTTAAATCCAAATCCAAAACAGCAATGTTGCATTCCTTCTGCATGGGCCTGCAATGGGCATGCTGGTACTAAACTTGAGAAAGTGGCATGTTTAGGACACAGCTAATGGCTTTGGAAGAGTCTTCCCTCCTTAACTTGGTAAAATTTTAACATTGAGGACTCTAGCTGGTTTCCCACATACAAGCCATCATGCTTCCCTTCTAGATCCAACAAAAGGGAAATTTGACATATGAAGTAATACACTGGCCAAAAGGACAACCAGCACAAAGTCTGAGGAAGCAGATAAGAGCTTCCTGCTGAGCATGAGGATGTGATGGGTCCTCCCCCAAGAAGAGTCAAATTACAAAACTCTCCATCCTCTAAGCAAACTCTCACCTTATCTTCATACCCCATGATCCTGGCACAGAACTGAATAAATCTCCTGCCCTCCAGGTGGGCATGATCACCATGAGCATGACCTACCCTTGACACTCACTCCTTCCATGCCACAGGAGAACAACCTAACAGGTCTCAAAGCATTCCAGAAAAGTATCAGAACAACAGTATTTTTAAGGTTCTAATTACCAAAAAACTGCTAAAGGATTGTTTTGATTTTAATCAAATCATACAGATCATAAATTCAATTAACTTCCAAGACTTGACAGAAAAAGTTGTTTACCTTATTGAGCTCTTCTATTCTCCGTATCAAATATGGGTTACTTGAAGAGTTTTCAAAGTAGACATAATCTGACAAAAAACAAACAAAAAATAGTTTAAAGTATAAACTGCTAAAAAATCGAACCAAACCCTCACATACATGCCTGTAAAAGACACCATACCCCATCTATTTCTTAGCACAAGCACTATTTCCAATGTTCCTACTAAAACCAGGATTTTAAGTGAGGAAATACAAAATCCATGCCAGTATAAGAAAGAAGTATTAGTGCAAGCTTTAGGCCATAAACTCACTTTCAAAAAATAAAAAAAAATTGAGCCCTACTGTCAGCCTGGAAAGCATATGATCTTCCTTCTCTCTCTGATCAGATTATTTCCACTTTGATCACACAGTTTTTTTTAACTTGCTTCCACTTCTTTCTTCTCAAAATCCAGCTACTTCTCACCAGCAATATGCAATCTTTCCTCTTCCCCTCCAGCTCAGCTTCAAAGTACTGCCCATTTATTTGGAACACAAATAGTTTCTTTCTCTTAGCTTTTTTCTCTACTTACAGGTCTTTTACACCTATATCACCCCAGAATATCCTCAACAAAACTCCATATGGTAAGCCAAACAGGTCAATAATACTAATTTCCAAGCAGAGTAAACATCTTAAGTTACAGGAAAGAAAAGTTCTCTACCCAAGGTAGAGACTTTAAAAATTAAAAAAAAAAAAAAATCAGAGAAGAATCAAGGAGTGCCACGTTGATCTGATCTGATGTTACTGAGCTCCAAGCTTATATATTGCTTTTTACAGGTAAGGAAACAGCAGCTCAAGAGGACTTAGATTTTGTTTCCCAATACTCCAGAAGCTAAATCTTAAACCTTAAGTGAGGCAGGAAGAGGGCTGACGTCACCTCCCGGCCTCAGCTACCTACCCTGGGATGCAGACCTTGAGTGTTACAGATTTCTCTTACCCGGATCCCACAGCCATTCCTCCCAAGACCATCTACTACATTTAAGACAATTTCCCGGCCCGTCTGTGTTTGGAGCAAAATGCCCATAGCCCCTGGGCATGACTCAGGTCATGGCAGCAACCCATTAGCACAAGGCTCCACCACTGAATGGGCATTTAGCAGTGCTAGTCTTCTGTAAATAGGGACAACTGCTGAAGCTGTTAGCCTCAATCTCCCTGGAATGCTTGTTCAGAGGACAGTGGGAATCAGATAGTTCCCTCCTCCCCAGCACAGAGGAAGGAAGACAGCCTGCAGGGCCTCTGGTCCTCCAAAGCTGCAGCCCGAGCCCCTCTGTAACACTACTCAAGCTCCAGACAGGTGTTTTCAGACTGTGGCGTACAGCTCTTCCTAGCCGTGGGTCTCCTGGAGTCAACCAGCCAGGTTACTTGCAGGGTGACAGGAGCAGCGAGCCCTGGGCAACCTGCAGCCCTCACTAACTACAGACAGCTCAGTTGCCTTCACGTCCCCTCAACAGGGCTGAGCTGCCCCAGGAGAGCCAAGACAAGACAAGAATCCCAAGGGTTACAATCCCAAGAGTGGAAATTTCCCAAAGTTTTGTTTTTCCCAAAAACCCCAAACGTGTCATAGGCTGCCAGCTGCAGAGACACCTTGACAACGAAGCCTCAACAGGGTCTCCAAGTGGTGAGCGATGCGGTTGCAATGCCCCTACTCCGTGTGCATCCTGGCTTACCCAACCACACCTCGTGTAACCAGGGCTAACACAGCATACAAATACTACACCCAATTGTTTGTATTCCTCTGCATTCTGTGCTCCAGACCTCACAGGCTGACCATCAGCCACCTTCCCGCACAGTAACACGCGTCGGAGCGACTCCAAAACTTTCTTCCTGACAGCAGGAGTCGGTTCATCTCAAATGTCACTTCCCTGCAGGTGTCAGGCTGAAAAACGATCTCGTCTAAGAAATTCAGACTGGACATCTGGTTTGTAGAAAAACAAAGTTCCTAGAAATGGTTAAAACACCCCAAGTGACCAGATCCTAACTGCAGCACACCAAACGGGAAACATCACTATGGTTAACTCCACCAGAAGTCACAAAACCCAACAGGTATTCGGCAGCTCCAGCAATTTCGGGATCAGCAGAGTAAAGAGAAACCTTTTCTCTCACAGCAGCACCACCCAGGGCCTACAAGGGTGATGCAGTGGAAGACATGGGAGCCTCAAGGTGCCTCCAGCCTCACCGACCACCTCAAGGCTCCATCACCTGAAGAAGGGAGGAGGTTTTTCCCTGCACCTCTCCCACCATTCCCAAAACAACCAGCTACCCCTCACTCCAGGGACTGTGGCTGAGGCAGACGCAAAAATCCTACATTTGTGAACACTGTGACTGAAAATTAAAAATAAAGGAAGTATCAATGTCTGTCTTGAAAATAGAACCTTGTCTTTAACTCCATGGGTTTCAGGTGACCGGTAAAATTTGCATAGTTCACCTAATTTTTCTAACCTTTTTTTGCATATATATTCTCACAGTCATGTTTTCTACCTCAAGTGAACATTAACTCCATTTTCATGTAACTACATTTAATTGTAAAACCTGTCATGGAGTAAACGAAAGTTTATCACAAATGAATGTTTTCCCAAAGGACAGCTCTTGGTTACATCCAGGTTTTGAACAATAAGACCCCCAAAACGTTGTTTTGCTCAGCAGGAGGAACATCCCCAAACCCATACTCCATGATCAGTAACTGCCAAGGAAGCTTGCACGGGCCAGCCGGCGGAAAGGCAGAAGCAAGGCCATCCCACGGGATGCTTAGGAGCCATCGGAGGGGTGCAGAGTTTGACCAAACGCTCCATGACTTCAGTCACAAACGCACAGCCCAGTACACCTCATCCATGTCTTAGACTAATCCCACAAGCATGCTAAGCATTTCACCAGTAGCTACGCAACTAATGGAGACCTATTTCCCATTACTCAAATTACCTGGAAAAGGGCTTCTTCCTCTCTGCAAGTAACACAGAGCCCTCAGCAAATCACATAAAACCAAGTGAGCAGATCAGAGGGGAGTAATTTGCATTTTTCATAGACATTTTAACTACTTTAACTAAAATTAAAATGCTATCCTGCACAGACAAGTGCTCGAGTTACTCACTGTTCCACCCATACAGCGGAATTTTAAATTCAACAAGCTACTCTCCCAAGCGATGCTTTAGGAGAAAGCACTCCTCAAACCGTTCCAAAAGCAACACCACCAGCAAAGGCTGGTTTAAAGGAGCTACACCACCGTACTCCACTGACCTCTGCACTCCAAAACACCTTGTCCCTTTAGCAACGCTTTCGTCATCTCCAGCTTCCTCCCATGCCGCGGAAGCGCGTCCTTCTCATACTGCCTACTCAGCTAAAAGTATTCCCAGTTTGCTCTCAGGACAGTACACACACACACATTGGATAACCAAAACCCTCTGCAGACTCCCAACAATCCAGTTGTCTCCTGCGTGTGTACAGCTGCCAGCCTCTGTGCCCCAGGCTAAAAGAGAGGATGAGGAAGGGGGCAGAATTAACAAACCCCTATACAACAGGAAGATACAGATCTTGGCTCCTACCGCAGAACAGGAAGGAAAGAGTACACTAGAAAAAAAACTAAGGCCTAGGGAGTGAAAAGTAGAGCCTGATAGCAAGTAAACAACAAGACAGACCCTTCAGATACAACAGACTGCCCATCCTTGCTAATTTATGGGCTCTGCTCTCTGCTCTGCACCCCACGGCTCCTCACAAACAGCACCCACGGTAAACACAAAGCCCAACCTCACACTCAAAGGTTGGAGACTCGATCCCATACCTTCAAAAACGCTTGCAGCTTAAACTCACAATCCTCAAATTAATCAGCCATGCATCCTCATCACGACTGTAATTAACAGCATCACCCATGCACATACCACAAGACAGTAAGGACCATCACAAGTACCACCGCCTTCTGACTCAAACTCAGGATGTGTTTTTCCTCTTGCCTGTGCTGTTACAGAGCAGTACCCGCACACATAAATCAACCCAAAAAGCCTTTATATCCCGTAGTATTTTTTTTTTATGAAGCTGACAACACGCACAACTTACTAGAAAGCAATGCTGTATCACACAGGTACCGACCTGCTAGAACACAGACGCAAGCACACTTGCAACAGTACAGCAGCTCAAACTAGAAGGGCAGCCTGGAGACCACAAAAGATGGAAGTTTTCCACAAAGGCAAGAAAATAACTGTTCTCAATTAGCAATAAACATAACGGACTTTCTTTTTGCTCTCACATGCTTTTAAGACATTACTGCAAAATTCATTCCCCCTCTGCCCTCCTCATGTCAGCTGTTAAATCTAAAGCGGTCCAGTCCATGGAAAAGAAAATCAGGAGGTGGTACCACAAAAGAACGAACACTCAGTGTCTAGAGGTCACATATTTATAAGATTAGACATGTCTGAGCTACCTAATAACCTTATGGGCTTTTAGGTGGTGAGGTTGCAAAAATGCCCAAAAGTATTTTTATCCTCCCCAACTTACATTTGCCTTTCAAGCTACAAGTGCTTGCTGAGGACTGACCTCGCCGAGCGCTCCCTACCTGACCCCCCCAAAAGCCTGACACACTGCGCACCGCCTTAGCCTACGGATGTGCTCGGGACACCAGGGAGGCTGAAGCTTTCCTCTTCCCACACGCACTACGCTGTTGGGTAGGATGTGAATTTCCAGTGATAAAGTAGTATTTCCCCTGCCCAATCCACAAAGCTGCTGCCCTGAATTGAAGATGAGCACCACGAGAGTGCATAAACTTATGATGACCTGCTTACCTTATGACTTATCTTACGGGAAATACACGTCTCCTCATACCCTGGATTTGCAATTCAATTTTGGGCCAGTTTCTTTCGGTAAGCTCCAGTTTTCAAATTATTCAGCAGCTTGGTCCTGAAACTGTCAATCACTGCACATTTTGGATTATACACTCCAGGTCTACTTTCTTGAGAGAGAAGAGGCTGGAGAGACTAACACTGTTTTCAGCCTACAAGTGAAGCAGCCTCACCTGGCAGAGCCCAGGTCCCAGTGCCTTCTGGCTGTTCAAAAAAGCAGCCTCGCTCA